TCGGGGGATCGATTCAGGCAGTGTGATCGATCCACGCAGTGTAGTTTCAGGTCACAGTTCATCTTCTTCAACCTTCGGTCCATTTTTCGGGAATACCATTTTTAGGTACTGAACTTCAATTAAATTATATAGATATGTTCTCCAAGGCTCATAGATCATTTTAGAATCATTAAATCATATTTTTAACATCAAATTCAAGGTTTATGATTCTTTGTTCTTCAAACATGTCAAACACAAAACTCAACCAAATGACCGTTTATGAACGTAGAAACGACCTATGTGAACATTCTAGTCATTAGATATATCTACGGGCTTACCTCGAAGCTTATTGAAGGTTTTGATATTTTTATGGCGAAACTTCCGGCGAGGTTTGTGGCTAGCTCTGGCGGCTTCACACCAAATTGACAGCACAAATGAACTCTACTTCACCATGAACACAATGGTACTAATTCTAAGGAGATTGGTGAAGAAATGAGAAGAATGTAGTTTCTTATATAGCAAGAGGAAGAGGAAGAAGAAATGGGAAGCTGAGTTGCTATTGCGTAGGATTCCCAATTCACGATCTTCATTCGGCGATAAAGAGATTCGGCACGTTACTCCCTGATTCGGACTAATTTGGTCCCAGTCGGGGTACACTTTTTGGTCCAATTTTCTCCGAATTGAATTTCGTTTGTACCGTTGTGATCAGACAGTCGAACTCTATCCAACGATATAATTTTTATATTTATTCGTTATACTTTTTCCGACATCATATTTTTGGTGTTTGACTTTGACAGAGTCAAAATTGATTTGTTTGACCTTTACTCAAAAAGGTGCTCATACTAAATTCATACTTCCTCCGTCCCGCAAAAAAGTTCCCCTTTCTTTTTCATCCGTCCCAAAAAATACTTCCCTTTTTCTTTTAAAAAGTCATTTTTACCCCTACTAATTCTTAACCTACCTATCACATCACACTTTTTCTCTATTAATCTATCCATCACATCCTACTTTATCCATCACATCAAAGGGCATTTTTGGAAAGTCAACACCAAAATACACTCCCCTTAAATCCTCAAAAAGTCAAACTTGGAACTTTTGTAAGGGACGGAGGGAGTATTATTTATTCTCATGATTTATTTCAATAAAGCATTTCAAAGTTTACATCATAAATACATTATTCATTTATTCCTGATTTTGGGTCTGTACTCAGGTTCAATCAAGGTTACACAAATAGTCAACATATTGGATTTATCTCTATGAGATTTATCCAAATTGTGATATTGGATATCAGAACATCTTTTACTTTGGCCCAATAAGAATTTATTTTAATCAAAGTAATTTGATTAATCAAATAATTATTCATTAATAATTCTAGGGTATGTTTTGGGGCGTTACAAAATGTATACACGGGGATCTAAGAACTGTCGTTTCGAAGGGGATAGGGATCTCACCCACCCAACGAGGAACTCCCGAGTTGGTTTGAGCTTGACCTTCGTGCCGAGGGGGAAGGTCATGACTCCCATAGGCAAGTCGAATACAGTTAAGCTTTAACCTAGCATACGTTAAGAGCCAAGTACGAAAGAAAGCTAAGTAAGTTAAAGAGGAAAGAAACCTGATACTCTATTACTCCCTCTGTCCACCATAGATCTTCCCAGACACTTTTCACAGGGTCAAACTTTAATCACTTTGTTTGCTCATTTTTACTAGTCATTTAATAAAATAATATAGTCTTGTCACCTCTAGTTTTGTAGAACTTTTCATGTAGTTTATTACTATATAAATTTTATTTTATAATTTTACTCCTATAATGAATTAAATTGAATTGAAAATAACGTCGGTCAAGCCTCGTAACGCGTAATGGGAGGATCTTACATGGACGGAGGGAGTATTATTAACATATCTCATTAATGATGATGTTATTAGTTATGCATGTTATATCCTGTATGATGTTATGACTAGGGATGGCAACGGGTCGGGTTCGGGTGGGATAGTACTATACCCGAACCCGAATTTTAAAACCGAAACCCAAACCCGACCCGAAACCCGACTTTTTAAGCCAAAAACCTGACCCAACCCGAACCCGACATTCCAACCCGAACCCAACCCGAACCCAACTTTTAACCAATAATCAATTCAATGTACCCAAATAATTTTAAAAAGATTAAATCTAATTATTTTGCGTTTCATTTTTAATAAGGAATTATAAAAATGATTATAAATGGCATACTTGATATAGTAGCACTTTGTCAAAAGATTATACGGAGTGCTCATTATATCTATAGATAGGCTTTTATGTTATAAAATATTTGGGTTTGAGTCGGGTCGGGTGCGGGTTCGGGTCGGGTTGGATAAAATAATAAACCCACACCTGACCCGACCCGATATCGGGTTCGGGTAAAAAATTTTGGGTCAGGTTCGGATTATTTTATTCTCGGTTCGGGTTCAGATATTTTAGTGGTCGGTCGGGTCAGTTAAGATCGGGTTCGGGTTGAATTGCCATCCCTAGTTATGACTATGTTGAACATGTGTGCAAGATATCGTATGATGATATGGGCTAGTGGGATCGTCTATGGGTATAGCTGCATGTTAGATATTTCTCACTTAGCTTCAATGCTGAGCGTGTAGCCCTTTTTCCTATTTACTACACGTAGGTAATCCAGGAAATGATGAACTTGGAGCCAATCCCGGAGGGCAATGAGGGTGCCGAGATGTGCGTGGAAGTGGTCGATGATTTTGAACTCTTATTTATCATTTGAATAACTTATTACTATTTCAGGCATGATTCCCAAGTTGTATTTTAAATTACGAATTAAGCTTCCGGAACTGTTTTAATATTACTCTGATGAATGTTAAACTATGTTTTGGAATGTTTATTTAAATTATTTTGAAGAGTCAAATAGTGTTTGAATACCAATTTAGTAGCAACCCGTTTTGCTAATCCGAGGATTCGGGTTATGCGGGTTGAGGTGTTAGAATCTGTAGCTACCAGTACATGTTAGACTTCCCTCTTCTCCAATGGCGTCAGCACACCGACACATGTTAGATTTCTCTGTTCTCAAAGTTTCGAGTTTCTATCTAGTGTCCAAGCTTTCTCTTGTTTCAGCGAGAGTTCAGCTTGAGGGGGGATGTTAGACAATAATAATAATAATAACAATTATGATAGTATTAGTTATACTAGTCTTTGTATTTTAGTCAGTTTCGTGTTCCTATTTATGGTAGATATAGTATTTTAGTGAGTTTACATTCTCTATTTCTAGTTGTGTTAGGAGTCTCTCATATATATACTCGGTCATATATGTGCTCCATAATTCAATGAGCAATATTATTATTGGAATATTTCAACAGAGACAATAACTTAGCGTACACACGTTTTCCTTTTTTTTGGAACGAAATATTAAGGACTTTACAATCAATTGAGTAATTAATATTAAACGGCTTTCTTCTTTATTTCCTTGTAATCATTTAGTAATTTAAATGCATTACCTTTGTTTTCCTTTTTTAAGAACACGGTTCATATTATTTGGAAAATAATGAATTAATGTCTTTCCTTGTTTAATGATTAGAAAATATTTTTAAACATTATGTTGAAATTAATTGATTATTTTTACCATCTCACGTTTTCCTTTTTTTGGGACATAAAAGACTTTGATTTTTTATTTGACTTCACGAAATGTCTTTTCTTTTTTTCAATTTATTATAAATACCAAATAATTAGAATGTCTTTAATTTACAATTTCTCCTTTTTATTTCCTTTTTAACTTATTTTTATTTTATGTTAATTTTTTCCATTCTTTACGTAATTTACTCTTTTTTAGTATTATATCATCTCTTGTAAATCATTTCATTATTAAATATTTAAAACCAATTTTAAAGCCATGTCGTAATTTGCTTTCTTTAAAACAATTATAAAAACCATTAATCGTTTTATTATGTCGAAATTAATTCATGATTTTTACCATTATTTAAGGAAAAACGTTTATTTTTTTTGGGACGGGACAGTAAAGACGTTAGAATTAAATGAGTAATTACCTTTATGATTATTTACTACATACACACGCTTTTCTTTGTTTTTTGGAACTAAACATTACGGATTTAAAAATTCATTGAGTATCTATTAGAATCTTAATTATTACCTTTCTTATACTCTCTACTTATGTAATGTATGTGATGGAAACCGCTTTTTCGGGGCGCCGACCCGATGAAATCGGTACCGGGTCGGCACCGCACCGAATAGCGAAATCTGGAAATTAAATAAATAAATAAAGCGGAGAGAAAGTATTTATACGTGGAAACCCAAATCGGGAGAAAACCACGGGCCTTTTTAGGCGGTGTCATGCCAAAGGGGAGAAACTTTTATTAATCTCGGGGGAATTTACATATACATCACTGTAGGAGCTTGGAGCCATTAATGGAGCTCCATGCTAAGAGAAGGAGAAGAATGAAGAATAATAGTAGAACTAGTAGGAAATTGGCTTCCCTCTTCCCTCCTTCGTACCATGCATTTAAAGAGGAGAAGGAAATAATTGATGGAGACAAGAGGAGACATTGTCCATGTGAAGCCCATGTGCAGCATGTGGTTTCCATGTGATAGTGTTCCACGGGTCCTGCCAAATGTCTCCACATCACTTCAAATATATTCTTATGTCCATATATCTCTGGTTCTGTCTTGAATAATTAACCTGATTTATATCTTGGGCCAGATAAAATTGGGCTTTCTTGTATTGTTCAAATAATATTGGATTAGGAAAAATCCCTAATCCATCAGTATGGAAAATGCTACAGTCACAAATAAATAATTCATAAACTTTACAAATTTCCTTTTTGTGGCCTTTAAATTAAAATATACCCATATTTTATTATTGAGTGTATCTTATTTCTAGAAAAATGTTAAAAAAATAAGTTTGTAAATTCTGTAAACACCCAATTTCCATTTTTTCCGTGTTTCACTCGGTCAAAGGAGAACGGAATGCCATAATTTTTTTGACTATTTATTATCTTTTTTGTACTCATTAGGCATGTAAATACACGGTTTCCTTTTAATTGTTTCTCGTGTTTCCATCCAACACGGTTTCCTTAAATTGAATCGCATTGATCAATGGCTGAAATCGTTAAGCTGATAGGTGGAAAAAACATGGACGATTTACCCACTGCTTTTAAGAATAGAAGGATGTCTTTGCATTACTCCGCATTTTTTTGGAATATACTCCGTACGTACATTTATAATCCGGAGTACTCCGACTACACAAATAACACTACATTGAAAGGCAATTTGAAGCGAAGGCAGATGTCATATATGGAACCTCAATGTTACACAATTTAAATCTTTAATTGTCAGGCCCATCCGCACAATGGCCCAATTGCTATTGTTGTCGCGGACTACTAATTAAAGTGGCTTATCAAAGTGAAAGTCTGAGCTCCAAATCTATTTCTTGATCCTCCTGAGAATCCGAGTTCTGATCACTCGACCCGGTTAAATAGCTCCGGTCTTTAATAGCCATCCTGTCAATCGACTCCTGTTTGATTATGAAGACGAGTAGTCAAGTTAGCCCTAAATAAGATTCTCGGTAGTGCGGTGGAACATGTTCGGTAGTCTCTTTGAACATACTCCCTCCGTCCCAAAAAGTCTTTTCTTTTTCATTTTTTCTGCATCCCATAAAACACTTTTACCGACATCTAAAATGCCTAAAATTTACAACATTTCTTTTTTATTGTGGGTAGAAGTTATTTTGAAAGTTTTTTTGGCATTCAAGACGAGATAGAAGTGTTTTATGGAATGCGCAAAAAATGAAACAAGAAAGACTTTTTGGGACGGAGGGAGTAATTTTTTAGCTTTTGCTTCCCTCAAAGACAATTCTAACTATTTCCATGCAGATCAGTTTTAAATTATTGATTGTAACTTAAGAAATATAAATTATGTCGTATAAATGTTTTTCAAGAACTCACCGTACTCACAAACACTCTCGTAAAAATATTTTAGGAAAAAAGACTAAAGTAGAACTGAAAAATTCGTACATTTCTAAAATAGAACTTTTATGTTTTTATTCCCAAAATAAGAGTTAAAATTCATTTACATTACCAAATATGGTCATGTACATTATCAAAAAGTATAGTAATGTGCACATGTTGTATATTGTCACATTACAACCACATTACCACAGTGTGAAGTCCTATTTCGAGAATAAAAACAATAAACTCCCATTTTGATAGTTTTTTCTATGTTTTAGCCTATTTAGTATGATTTCTATATATTTTATCCCCCTTTCAGATTAAAGTCATCATGTGGTCTGAAATACTTGTCATATTCTCACGGACTGAAAAATAAAAACACCCGCTTTTAATTGTGAGCTTCTTCTTTATCTTAAATGATAGGGAATTCACTCTCTAAAATTTATAGAGAAGCTCACATAGCTTTAAATTCAGTGGAGGCGGAGGTATTGAACCATTGTGCGTTATTAGGTTGAAAAAAATATAAATATATATACTTCATTGTGATTGAGTCAATAATACTAAAAAAAATCTATTTTTATGAGATAAAATTTTATAAAACTATATATTGAGAAGTCAACTTTGCACTCAAAGTTTATTTGAAAGAGAGTGAAATAATGTGGCCAAAAATTTATTACATATTTTTTTAAAAATGAATAACATTTTTAAATAAATAAATATATATAGGAGTGATATAATTTTATTCCAAAATAAGATTATTGCACTTTTAAAATGTGATACTATATATTAACATTTCACATTGTTCTTTTGGACGATTATTTATTGGTATTATTGGCATCATATATCTTATTTTAGGGATAAACATGAACATCCTATTTTGGTTTTTCCTAATGTTCTACTCATTTTGTCTTTCTTTTTTCTTTTTTTAGGGCATACAAGACATGCTTTAATTAAATCATACTCCGTATATAAAAAAATCAATAATTTAAGTCACAAGTTTATATATTACGGAGTAGAAAATATAAATTACAGAATATTTAAGTAATAATTTCTACTATATGTGTATTATTTTCATCCTCTTAGCCAAATTATGAAAATTATCGAACTATATATACTATTGTTATTTAAACGATGTAGTTTTCTCCTACTACTACTACTACACTACTACTCTAAAAGTAATGAGTAATAATAATAATAATAATAATAATATTATTATTATTATTATTATTATTATTACTATTATTATTGTTGTTGTTGTTGTTATTATTAATTACATCATGTTATTCTTATTGTTATTATTAATATTAATACTATTATTATTATTAAGTTCTACGGAGTAATTGGCATTTTCACAACAATGTTTTTGAATTCAGCATTTTTTATAGTGAATCTAAGGTATACCATGGACCCACATATGACTCAAATAAGTAATTTCTTACTCTCTCCGTTCCACAAAACTCTTCTTCTTTCGTTTTTTTTGCTTTCCACAAAACACTTTCACTTTCTATTAAAAAACCACTTTTACCCCTACTTTTTCATACCCTACCTATAACATCACACTTTTTCACTAATAACCAAACTATCACATCTTACTTTTTCTCATCACATCAAGGGCAAAATTGGAAAATCAACCAAAATTACACTTTCCTTATTTTTCCCAAAAGTCAAAATCGGAAGGGTTTTGTAGAACGGATGGAGTACAATTTTATAAGAAAAATTAAAAATAATAAAAAAGTTTTTATGTGAGAAGGTTTACAAAAATAATATAATATGTACCCAAGATGCACCATAGAATCACTCTTTTGAATTCGGACCATTAAGTTTTATCTACTAAACAAATTAAAATTGCTTGGTCCCACTTTTCTTCCATAGTATTCTCTCCATCCTAGAGTATGTTCTACGGTAGGTTCTAATAAACTTGAATAATCAATTAATTAAATACATTTATGAAAGTTTTTTAATTACCACATAAATATATTGAAATCCTTTTTGTACGCAATACTATTCAAGGAAATTCTTATTTAATTAATGACTAGAGTTGATCTAGTTGGATTAAAAAAAATCAAACAAAACATATGCTTTAGGCCGTATGACAATTTTTAGCCGACTCGATGATATATACCTGGACTTATACTAAACCTACTCAAAGAGATGAAAATACGAGAATATGGTCCGTATATATGTTAGTATGAACCATCAAAATTATGCTGATAGCAAAATTGTGATGTACAAAATGTACTCCGTATTTGTGTTACGTAGTGTGAACCACTGCACCTCAGCTTTGCACTAGTATGTTGATGATTCACATTTGCACAAAATATTACTTTGTATTATGATCACAATATTTGTAATGATATTTTGTGTTGATGTGAACCATCAAAATTATGTTAGTGCAAAATTATGATTTAGCAAAAATAGTCCGTACCTCTAAGGGGTGTTGGTTGAGGAAATGTCTGGTGATGTTCGATGGAGCAAATCGCTGGGGCTCGTAGACTATCCCTTGATGCCACCTGATTTTGTCCAAGTTGATGAATTCATTAGGATCGGATCGGAGCTGCATGATCGAGGAACATATAATAATAATAATACCACTAAATTATTTTCTGCACATGTGTTTCCCACAATGCCCGGCTGGCCCCAATACTTTTGCTAGTTTAGTAAGTAGCATAATCTAGCCTATTTGTGTACGTTAAATTGAAGTTTAGAATTATTGTTTTTTTAAAAAATTGTACCTTAGCTCAAAAATGATACTCCATCCGTTCCTTAAAACCATTCCTATTTTGACTTTGGGGCAAAAGAAGGAAAGTGTAATTTTAGTTGACTTTCCAATTTTGCCCCTGATGTGATGGTAAAAGTAAGATGTGATAGTTTGGTTATTAGTAAAAAAGTATGATGTGATAGGTAGGGTATGAAAAAGTAGGGGTAAAAGTGGGTTTTTAATAGAAAGTGGAAGTGTTTTAAGAAATTGGAAAAAAACGAAAGAGGAAGAGAATTTCTTTAATTAGTTTCTTCTTTTTATCATTTCCCAAATAAATAAGTTTCTTCTTTTCCCAAATAAATAAGTTTCTTCTTTTTATCATTTCTTTTTAATTAGTTTCTTCTAATTAAATTTCAACCACAACATTGATATTTAATTCTAATTCACCAACACTATATTTGTTTCAAGGAATTTGGAAGGAAAAGAAAAAAAATGATTTTCTCTCAATTTCCTCACCAAAATGAGGAGAATTTGGTTTTCGGCCCTCTTAATATATTTTTCTTTCTCATTTTCTTTTCTTTTCCACTTTTTCTTTCTTTTCTCTCTAACCAAACAAAAAAAACTATTTTCTACTTTATTTAATTTCTTTTCTTTTCCCTTTCAAATTCCTTAAACCAAACTAACATAGTGTAAATGACATAGTGTAAATGTATGTTTCTTATAAACTGTGAAGTAAAATTGTAAATTTTATTTTGAAACTATCCCCATTTAGAAGCCCAAACAAAAATAGGTAGAATACAGGAGGAATAACCACATGTGTTTTTCTTCCCAATATAGCACTTTTAGTCATTATGCATTAATTATTATTCAAATAAATATTCACCATCACAGGACATTATGGACATTATTAAGTGTTATTTAAGAAATAAAACAATTTAAGCGCTATTTAGGGAAATGACTTAAGTTCTAGTACTCCCTCCGTTTGAAAAACCCTTCCCAATTCCCATTTGATTTAGGGGCAAAAATAAGGAAGTGTTAAATTATAGTTGATTTCCAATTTTGCCCCTGATGTGATGGGTAAAAGTAACATGTGATGGATAGATTATTAGAGAAAAAGTATGATGTGATAGGTAGGGTATGAAAAGGTAAGTGTAAAAGTGGTTTTTTAATAGAAAGGGAAAGTGTTTTGTTGGAAGTGGAAAAAATGAAAGAGGAAGCGTTTTTGAGAACGGAGGGAGTACTATTTTGTGCAAATATTTCTTAAGTATATCACGAGGACAGATGGCCAATCAACTAGAGTGTAGAGGTTACCCAGGATTAGAGAGTGGGTAAGAATTTCCATATCTTACATTTCCTCCTTCCAGTTCGCTTGCACTCATCTGAAATAAAATAATGAATAATAATGCGTCGTAGCACATAAGATTGAATACAATGGAACACCAAATACGTACAAGAAGGCACATGGCTCCCAACAACCCCACCCCCATCCAAATCATGTTGAAAGGAAAAAGCCACATTCATGTTCCCCATGTACTCCCTCCGCCCAGCCAGCCTCCTCAAAAATATAGTTTCTTCTTCCGAGTTACTTAGGATATTTAGGTCAAAGATACTTTTTGATCATTTCACAAGAAAATTGTCATAAATTTCAGAAAAAATATTATATCTTCAAAAACTAAATACAAAATAAGAAGTGCTAAGACTATATTTCTTTTTATCGATCTAATAAGTACTCCCTAATAGAAACAGGAAAACAAAATTGTCAAAATTTGAGCAATAATTGAGTATGAAACAGAAAATCCTTTATATATATATATATATATATATATATATATATATATATATATATATATATATATATGTAACTAATAAAAGGAATGGGAGGAGTTATTGTTTATAGTAGTATACCAAGATGGTTTGGTTGCATGGGAAAGTGTATGACGTGGAGGGCGGGTATGAGAATGAGGAGGGAGATGAAGAGTATCCTGTCTGCAGTCCAATATCGGCCTCCTGCGCGCAGTAAATAATAATTTTGTAAGCCCGGCCAATTAACAGAGTAAACGTATACGTACTCAAGAGAATAATAATAATCATATCATAGCTTAAATAAATAAATAAATAAATAAAAAAGTGAACAAAATAAATACTTGTATATAATCTTCGTAAGTTTAAAGACATGCATGCATATATATATAGGTAGATAGCTAGCTTATAAATCAAGTATAGGTAGAGAGAGAGAGAGGGAGAGAGAAGGAATATATATATATATATATATATATATATATATATATATATATATATATATATATATATATATATATATATATATAAAATAAAGTGATCGGATGAATGAATGAACCTGATGAGGATGAGGGAGGTGGAGAGGGTTATTAGCCGCCGCCCCAGCAGCAGGTAGGAAAGCGCAGCCCATTTGAGAGTGTAATCTAATCTTCTCTAATTGCGCAACACCCAGCCCTCTCTGAGGCTGTTTCGGTTTCTCTGAACCGCTGCTGTTATTATTCTTCTTGCCGCTCTTCCTTGACGAGCCTGACCCTGAAGAAGATGATGAAGTCCTATCCTGATGCTGGTGGTGCTGATGATGGTGATGGTGATGATGACTTGTTATGTTTGACGACTCCCCTAAGTAACTCATGATCACGTACTCCTTTTCCTTGATTAAAGCTGCTGCTGCTGCTGTACCTTTAATTTCTTTCTTTGTTTGAAAACGGTGTTTCGAAAAGATCGTCTTAGCTTCCGCCCGTTTACGAAACACACTAGCTTTATGGTATCATTAGAGAAATCATTCAAAACGCCCACACCAAGAATGGCATAAGCTATTTATATATACTGATTACGAAACACACCAGCTTTATGCTATCATATGCATATTTATCAGAGAAGGATTATTTGTGGAAGAAGAAAGAATACAATAATGATGCCTTTTTAAGCTCTTCACTAAAGAGTGTATCCCTCGAACGGATTCTTTTCTAGTTTACTCTGTTTCTCTATTTCTGCATACCCGTATTTATATACTCCCTAGCTAGCTATAATTTACTCCGTAGATATTGCTGGATGGGATAACTAATAATGGACATTCTTTTTAGGGTCTGTTTGGAAATAGCGTTAGAGATTAGCGTTTTGGATAAAATTTTAACGCTGCAGATTACTTTGAAAACATTGACGCTAAACGCTGCTCGTAGATAGCGTTTTCAAAACGCTAACGGTATTTCCAAACAGGCACTAAGTAGTTTTTTCTAATCCTTATTTTTTAATTTTTCTTGTTGCCCGCGTGCTACTCCAATTACTCCATTTCCATTTCCCTCTATTTCATATTAATTGCCTAATAAGATATTTTTGTACATTCATTCACTTTTCAGGGTCTCTTTGGTAAGTTTTAGAAAATATGATAAGATATTAGTTTTGAAATCTTGGAGAAAGAATTTGAGTTTAGAAATCTGAAACAAACTTATTTGAAAAAATTTAAAACCATTATTTATATAGTAATAGGCAGCATGACTAGCAACAGAGGTGGTTGGCGGTGACAATGGTAGCTGGTGACAGGGATTGTCGGGGAATGAGAAATATTATTATTCTATTATACTCCCTCTGTTCCACAAAACTCTTCTCCTTTCGTTTTTTTAATTCCCTAAAACACTCTCACTTTCTATTAAAAAACCACGTTTACCCTTACTTTTTATACCCTACCTATCATATCATACTTTTTCACTAATAACCAAACTATCACATCTTACTTTTACCCATCACATCAGTGGCAAAATTGGAAAGTTAACCAAAATTACACTTTTCTTATTTTTGCCAAAAATCAAAAGTGGAAGGTTTTAAAGGAACGGAAGGATTATATTCTAACCCAACATGGTATCATAAAAACCGCTTTTGGTAACAAATTAAAAAGTTTTTTTTTCCTTCGCTCCTGGCGGGCGGAGCCATAATTAGCCACCCACCAGGCCTCAACGCTGCCTTTATTCCTTCCTCAATGCTGGCATTCCTTCTTCTCTTTGCCAAGCTAATTTTTTTGGACAAGTCATATTTTTTTCCCTCTTTGTCAAAGGGTCAAAATCAATATTTGCTCTTTGCCAAAATCCAAAGAAAATCAAAACAAAAGCAAAGTCAAGAGGGGAAAGGTGAAAAAGAAGAAATTCCCTCCAACAACTCACCCCTCCAAGAAAATTTTAAAAGATTCCCATAATTAAGAAAAAATTTCTCCTTTGTGTTGGCCTTGAATGTCGTACCCCGTAACCGTTTTGATGTGCCAAATAAGTCTTCCAATGCTAATAACATCATTTGCAGGAAGAAACCAAACGCCAAACCTCTATTAGCTTGTATAGCATCACCGAGATGTACTCCTACGAGCTTAGAAATATTTGTGTAAAGGTAACGATATATTTTAATGATTTACTTATGCCCTTTCACTCAAAAATTATTTCTAAAATGTCAAATATATTCTTAATTGGGGTTATTTTGAAAACGGAACACAAAAAACGAATTTTGGAAAATTCCACAGGTCAAACGGTACCTGGCTACCGTGTACACGGCACCATGGTACCGCCGGTAGCCAAGTGAAGCTACCGTTGTACGTTTCACCTGGGTGGTACATGGTACCCCCCTACCGTGGTAACGGTACCTGGGTACCGTCGGTAGGCTTGGGACGGTTGGCCAAGCCGTTTTACCCCAGGTACCACCAGAGCCTAACCCAGTTTTAGGCCTACACGGTACTACCTAGCGATAGGCCGTACCTTGGTCACGGTACCTAGGTACCGGACGGTACTGACCCTACCGTAAAGGGTACCGTATTCGTTGTTAACAGTGTAGCAAATTGCCAATTTAAATTCAAATCACTCCCTAACGGCATTTAACGTTAAAAACTCATATTTTAACCTTCCAAACTCCTACATAAACCCCCTCTAAGAGTCATTTTTAATACAACAACTTCCCAATTATATCTAAAGCCTCTTTCTATATTCTTTAGTGTTCCTTGAAGCTTTGTTCTTATTTTTCTTACTCTTTTGAGTATAAAGCTTTCATTATTTTTATACACTCACACACAAGGGCATTTTTGATTCATTATTTTATATCTTGCCTATAGGCTTTTTGTTGTTGTTGATTTAATCTTTTGTTCTTCTCCTACCCAATTCATATTTGTTATCATTTTGGTAGAGAAGCAACACCAATCCTTTATTGACTTGTAAAAGGTGTGGATAGCCTTTAAATCCTCATTGTAAGGTTGAAGATAGCCTTAAAATCTTCAGCTGTAAACGGTTGAGATAGCCGTAGTAAAATCTCGTTTGCTTATTGGCAAGGGTTGTTTGCCAACCCTCGTTTGAGTCTTCTTAGTGAAGCTAAACAAGTTAGTGGAGGTTAAATCCTTGAGGATCCTCAAGGTACTGGAGTAGGGAGTTCCCGAACCAGTATAAAATCGCTTGTGTCGTACTTTTATTTTTTATACTTTTCTTGCTCCTTTTCCGCTATTACTTTGCGCATAAGTTTTTGTTTTTTACGAAAAACTTTTAAACACCCTAATTCACCGCCCTCTTAGGGTGTAAACCGACTTTCAATTGATATCAGAGCAGGAAGTTTAATCCTTTCAAACTTATCTTTCAATTTTTCTTACGACACATGGATTCAATGAACTCCCAAAGTATTACCAAGCCACCATTCTTCAGTGGGGATAATTATGGCTATTGGAAAATGCGAATGGAAAATTTCATTCAATCCATTGACTATGATTTATGGATAGTCACTACTCATGTTCCGTTTGTTCCTATGAAAACTGTAGGTGAACATCAAGTGCCTACGCCAATGGACAAACTCAAACCCGACGACAAGAAAAAACTCTTCTTGAATGCCAAAGCATTAAACATGTTGTTTTGTGCCTTGGGTCAAGATGAGTTTGCTAGGGTCAGCTCTTGCAAATCCACAAAGGAAGCATGGAAGCTCCTAGAAGCCACCCATGAAGGAGACAAAGACACCAAAGCTACCAAGATAGCTTTAGGAACATCCGAGTATGAAAACGTCAAGATGAAGGCCGGAGAATCCGTTCAAGATATGAACAAACGATTCAACCTCATTGTCAACAATTTGAGTAAGCTAAATAAAGTTTATCCTACTAGTGAGATTATGATACGGGACCAACTCGATGAAAAGAATGCAAATGGGTGCAATACTTCCTGATTTACAAATAACAAAAACCTCGACATCAAGCATTCCAATTCTATGCATCCATAAACAATCAGATTGTCCCCAAAAACTTCCTCGCGGTCTTGGTGGTGTGCATCCTAATCAACATCGTCTATAGGAACGGATCAATAACAATAACAAAAGCATCATCGGAAATACCTACCGGATGAACAAGTGTAACACTATCGGGATCAAACTTGGTAAAATTGGGAGACCACGAACTAAATCCTGGATTGAGCAAGAGACCTCTACGGCGGACGCATATACCTCGAAATCATATTTTGGGTGACCTTCAAATTGACGGAATGCCTGAAGTTTCTTTATAATTTCATCCACAGAATCTTCAACTGCACACACGCCTTCATAAAATTCAATGTGTCCCCGTAGAACTTTCTCGAGTAAACCAAGAACTTTGTCCAACAGAGAATCCATTGCTAAAAGAAACAACACCACACAAAAATTGAATTGAATTTTGTGGCCAATTTTTTTTGTATAATTTTTTTTGAATGAGTTCAAGAATGAAAGCACCAATTGATACGGTATCGTATCGGGATAGGGAAGAATTTCGAGCACCTTCGAGCTCCAAGAACAAAAGAGGCGAGAAAGAGAGAGATTAAGGTTTAGGAGAAAGTATTTTCTTTATTCATTGATTAATAATTCATTGAAATGGAAACATTTATAGCTAGGACATGTAAAGAATCCTTACCATAGAAGAAAACTAAATAATCTAGGAATCTTAATTATAAATGGTAACAAATATCCTACCAATACTATACTACTTTCTAATAATAATATAATTAACTAACCATAAATAATGATACTACCTAATATAATAATAATAACCACTAACCATTAATAATAATAATAATAATAATTAATCCCGTATCACTCTCCCCGCCTCAAAATCCAACTTGTCCTCAAGTTGGAAATTCAACAAAGAACGGGGAAAAAGTGTTTCATTCATCGTCCATCCTCCGGGGTCAAACACCTTCGTTATTGGAGCATCAAAAGAACCTGTTGGACCTACAACATCTCCAACACTAGTTAAATAATTGCATGCGACCAACTCGATGAAAAGAATGCAAACGGGTGGAATACTTCCTGATTTACAAATAACAATAACCTCGGCATCAGGCATTCCAAAGCTTTCTGTGCATCCATAAACAATCAGATTGTCCCCAAAAACTTCCTCGCGGTCTTGGTGGTGTGCATCCTCATCAACATCGTCTGTAGGAACAGGATCAGTAACAATAACAAAAGCATCATCGGAAATACCTACCGGATGAACAACAATTTCCTCCATCGTGAGTGACTTATTGGTACCCAGGACATTGGACCCACTCTTCATGTCATCTTCGACGTATGGTTCATTGCTTAAATTTTCCACAAGAGGGCTAGTGTGTGCGGCTGTGTCTTCCACGATCTGAACAATTAGGTCCCCAGCCTTAGGGCTAGATTTGGTGAAGAAAGTGGAGCACCGATGAGTTTCTTTATCACGCTCATCATATTTGTTTTGAACAAGTGTAACACTATCGGGATCAAACTTGGTAAAATTGGGAGACCACGAACTAAATCCTGGATTGAGCAAGAGACCTCTACGGCGGACGCATATACCTCGAAATCATATTTTGGGTGACCTTCAAATTGACGGAATGCCTGAAGTTTCTTTATAATTTCATCCATAGAGTCTTCAATTGCACACACGCCTTCATAAAATTCAAGGTGTCCCTGTAGAACTTTCTTGAGTAAACCAAGAACTTTGTCCAACAGAGAATCCATTGCCAAAAGAAACAGCACCACA